CACAAGATACTTCTCTTTTCAATATAAATAAGGCTTTATTGGATAAATCTAAGACATATAAACTAATCTAACACATGGACCAAATCTTAGATTGTCTGATTCGGTCTGATATCCTACATGGTAGTCCCTCGATGACACATCATACAGGCCGGAGTACTGTTGCCATAGCTCCACGAACCTTTCCTCCATCTCATAATTCCACCTAGCAGCACCATCATCTCTCTTTCGTTTTGCCATGTTTGAAACCTGTGTATGAAAGAGCTTCTGTGCTGCTATTGGTCAACATCACCAATGTGACAGAACTCGTCGTGGCCGATGGGAAAAACAATTAAACATGCTAGTCTTTCTGTCGTGATGTCGTGAAGCATCGCAGACGCGAAATCGGTTGTCGTCCACTATGACACACTACATGTGCTGAAACGATGGAATCTTGCATTCCGAAGCCCACTGTCGTTTACAAATCCCCACGACACCCTACGTGAAGCAAATCGTGGCAAAATCGGGCTAAAATCGTGTAGTCTGAACCGGGCATTATGCAAATTGTCTTGTATGTTTTCGTAACATTCATAACCTGCAAGAATGAGTGTTTATCAGCTTTTTTTGAATCACATATGCTCAAATGCTGATTTGTAAAATACGAAAAACATAAAATCAATGTTGCGTTTTTTCACGATACTGTATAGGCCTAAGTTACGCAAATGTACTTGTATGTTCTCGTAACATTCATAACCTGCAAAAATTAGTGTTTATCTGTTTTTTTGAGTCACATATGCTCAAAGTGACTTGTAAAATACGAAAGTAAACAAAATAAATGTTACGATTTTTTTCATTAGCACACTGTATGAGTTATACAAAACTGTAATGAAAAATATCGCAACTGATTTTGTACCTACTTTTATATTTTACAAGTCACTTTGAGCATATGTAGCTCAAAAAAACCTACCAAACACCCATTCTTGCAGGTTATGAATGTTACGAGAACATACAAGTAAATTTGCATAACTTATGCCTATACAGTATTGTGAAAAAACGCAACATATGTCACATATGCTCAAAGTAACTTGTAAAATACGAAAGTAAACAAAATAAATGTTACGATTTTTTTCATAAGCACACTGTATGAGTTATGCAAATCTTCTCATATGTCTTCCCAAATCAAACATTTATAACCTACTGAAATGTGTATCAGCTTTTTTTGAATCACATATGCTCAAATGCTGATTTGTAAAATACGAAAAACATAAAATCAATGTTTTTTCACAATACTGTATAGGCCTATGTTACGCAAATTTACTTACTGTATATGTTCTCGTAAAATTCATAACCTGCAATAATGGGTGTTTGGTAGGTTTTTTTGAGCTACATATGCTCAAAGTGACTTGTAAAATATAAAAGTAGGTACAAAATCAGTTGCGATATTTTTCATTACAGTTTTGTACGAGTTACGCAAATCTTCTCATATGTTCTGGTATATCAAACGTTCATACCCTACTGGAATGTTTATCAACTTTTTTGAGCCACATATGCACAAAATCAGTGTTGCAATATTTTTCATTACAGTGTGAGTATACTTACATAAATTAGTTAAGTTATAAGCAAAAGTTATTGATAGTGGGTTTTTTTGCACAAAATTGCCTTCTGTGATGTGCCTATGAAATATAATTCCATTCAAAGCATTCACCCATGACAGACTGAAGCTGCATTACCCACTGTAATCCTTTATTCACATGATGCGTCATTGTGATCCTACGGTTTTACAAGCTTCATGATTTTCATGATCGGCTCTGGCCACAGTATCAGCACTCCTTGTAGAAGCTGCTGACTTCACATATCAGCATAAATATGACTTCCTAATGAGCAAGGAATGGTTTCAGCTTTCCACAGATACACAAGTCTCTGTAAATCCTTGCCTGTTACCCAAGATGCACTGCATGTGGTACAACTAAAACCCCTGCAGTTTGTTGTAAATTAAGATGCAGATGTTGTCCCCGAGACAACGTGTGTGGTTTTTTTGAGTGTAAACTTCTAGTGTGTCCAATGGGATTCTATAGGACAATGAATGACTGCATGGTTTATGGATTTATTGACTGTCAATGTGTTTCTTGAAATCGGCTGGCGCGAGACGTCTAAAAGTGGATGAATTTGGTGGAGTGGATTTAACTAAAAGGAAGAGAATTTATATTTAGGAACTGCTAAATCTTTCATCTCATGCCGCAGCAGCTCCGTTATTCATTTTTAACGGTGTTCCTGAGGGACAGAGAGAGTGTGTGTTTGTATTTGAGTAATGATTTCTGCCATTTGAATGGGTGTGCAAACTTTAGCTTAAGACTAACACTGGTTATTTAAGAATGAATATTACAGTCTTCTGGCAAAGTCGACGTTGCAACACCACCTTAATTCAGTCATCCCAACGAACAAATATTGTTTCCCAATTCATGGTTACAAAACTAGAACCTAAAGAGTATATTCTTGGAATTGGTTCCCCAAAAATAACCAAAGTGGAACCATACGCTAATGTTAGGGGAGCATTCCATGTTTGCTGGGATACTGCACCACAAAAAAAATAGTACCTAAAGAGAACATTCTTAGAACATTTGGAACCATATGCTAATGTAATGGAATGTTCTGTGATTGCTGTGTTTTGCACCAAAAAAAAAACAAAAACAAAAAAAAACCTTAAGAGAACATTTGGAATTGGTTCCAAAATAAGTAACCAAACCGTAAAAATACTCTAATGTTAGAGGAGCATTCTGTGTTTGCTGGGATATTTCTGCACTACTAAAGATAGAACCTAAAGAGAACATTCTTATAATATTTGGAATTGGTTCCCCAAAACGTAACCAAACCTGAACCATATGTTAATGATAGTGGAACGTTCTGTATTTTCTGGGATACTTCTGCACTACTAAAAAATAGAACCTAAAGAGAACATTCTTAGAACATTTGGAATTGGTTCCCCAAAACGTAACCAAACCTGAACCATATGCGAACATTAGCACTCTGTGTTTGCATCCCAAAAACAAACAACAACAACAACAACAACAAAAAAACCTAAAAAGAACATTCTTAAAACATTTGGAATTAGTTCACAAAAAGTAACCAAACCGGAACCACATGTTAATTTTAGAGTAACGTTCTGTGTTTGCTGGGATGTTTCTGCACTACAAAAAATTAACCTAAAGATAACATTCTTAGAAAATTTTTAATTGGTTCCCCCCTAAAAAATAACTAAACTGGAACCATATGTTAATGTTAAGGGAACGTTCTGTTTGCTGGTATGTTTTTGCACTACTAAAGATGAAACCTAAAGAGACATTCTTAGAACATTTGGAGTTGGTTCCCCCAAAAGTAACCTAAACCAGAAATATATGCTAACATAAAAAAAAAAAACCCTAAAAAGAACATTCTTAGAACGCTTGGAATTATTTCAAAAAAGTATCCAAACAGGAACCACATGTTAATTTTAGAGTAACATTCTGTGTTTGCTGGGATGCCTCTGCATTACAAAAAATAATAGAAGATTTTGAGTTCTTCTGTCATTCTTAGAAGATTTGGAATTGTTTTTCCCAAAAAATAGAATCATACACTAATCAGAATCATACAATAACATTAGCAGAATATTCTGTGTTTGCTTGGATACTACTGCACAAATAACCTAAAGAGAACATTTTAGAACATTTGGAATTGGATCTCCAAAAAGAACTAAACCAGAACCATATGCTAACATTAGTGGAATGTTCTGTATTTGCTGGAATAGTTCTACACTACAAAAATAGAACCTAAAAAGAACATTAATAGAAAATTTGGAGTTTGTTCCCCCCAAAAATATGTTTACACTATACTGTACCATGCTATACTCTAAATTACAATTCTTTAACATACTGTAGTGTATTCTATGTTGCTGCACTGTACAATCAATTGCACATGTAAACTAGATGCACAAACTGTCCTGAAATGCAGATCTGAGTACTTTGAGAATTTGGCTGACCCTGTAGATTTGGATGGAATATCTCTGATCGCTCATCCAGTCTCAGGATAAAGGATTCAGGTGCATTAGAGGTCAATATAAGGTCGATAACTGGACACGAGCCACACTACTGTTTGAGTAGCTCAGTCACACCATGTGCTGACATCACAGTGTGAAGAGATGAAATCTGATCCAGGCCACTTTACTTGCTGGAAATCATTCAAACACAGTTTTACAGCATATATATAATGTTTAGATATATATCTGAGACAAACACTTATCAAAATCAATATTAACAATGTATACTTGCTGAATGCAGGAGTGGATGGTGACTGGATACAGGCTGTGAAAAGTAAATAGGAATTAAACTTCACATTAATTCATAACATTTCCATTGCCAGTATAACATAATGTTAAAGGAATTATCTGTTTGTCCGAATAATTAAGTTTATATTTTTTTCATTGTAAATTGTATTTATTTTACTGTGAATGAAATCTTAAAAAAAAAAACTAATGGACTTTTAATAGTAAATTGTATTTATTTATTTAAAAACATTAAAGTTTGTCTGTATGTATATATTTGTTTAAATAAGCAAAAAAAAAATTAAATTAACGCTTCACATTTAAAGTTTGTCCAACTAAGGAACTATCTTTTGAATTTATTTATTTATTTATAACAATAGTTTGCAAAATTAAACACTTTACATTTACAGTTCTTCCAACTTATGAACTCTCATTTATGTATTTATTTATTATTTTTTAAATAAAATATATATATTTTTTAAAAATTAAACACTACATATTTAAAGTTTGTCCAACTAATTAACTGTTTTAAAGGTAAATATTAAATAAAGAAAGAAATAAAGAAATAATATATAATAAAGGGAGTATAAAATATATTTGAAAAATATACACTTCACAATTTAAGTTTGTCCAACTAATTTAACTATTTTTTTAAATGGTAAAAACTATTAAAACATTTTAAGTTGAAATCATTTTCATTTGAACTAATTTTTCCTCATTCCTTTTGCAGCTGTTTCTATAATGCGGCATAGTGCATCAGCGTTTGGGTTTGCTGTAAGTATGCGAACACTTCATATAATTAAATTGTTATTATTTCATAGTTTTTAACGTTTTAATGCTTCACTTTATCATTGTTGTCCATTCGTTTGCAGTTTGATGCCACTCTGGACGTCCTGTCCTCCATAATCGTGCTTTGGCGATACAGTAACGTGGCGGCCATCCATTCAGCACACAGAGAATACATGTAAGTACACGTGATCCTTCCTCCATTAAAGCAAACGTGGGGGGCGCAGTATAGTTTGTGCTCGGGCTGGGATACTGGGTAGTGTCAGTAGCCAATTAGATGTTGTTTCTTGGCAACAGGGAGAGCAGAAGGTCAGACTGATCTTTCAAGGTAATGATGTTGAAATTTTGACATGCTCCTCAGCTGAAGGAGAACATTAATGTGCGTTTTGTGGTCAAACGAGATGTGCAAGTAATTATCCAAACAACCTGTGGTCATTAAAATTATCATGTTTTCAGATGTGCTGTATCTTTAAGACAAAATTAACGTAATTTACCTTAAGGTTAAAGCGGGTTAACGTTTCCTAAAGACCACCAGCTTTGATGGATGGAGGCCAGGCAGACAGACAGACTCTCCTGTCCCACAGGAAGTGGCCTCGCTCTGGGTTTCATGTCTAAAGAGTGTCCTTAGACAGTCTCTCTCTGTGTTCGGCATCCTTTATCGGCTGAGGGACAGAGTAGAGATGGCAAAAGGGCGGGAGGGCTTTGTGAACAGAAAGAAAAAAGAGGAAGCAGAGAAAAAGAGACACAGGACAAAGGCAGAAGTGTGTAGAAAGTACAGTACAGACATGCACATGTGATGACTCGGTTTGCAATGCACCATGAAGCCGTGGGCCGCTGCGGGTCACTAGGGGAACCTGCCGGGATGCGGATCGCCATGGAGCGAGATGACATATCTACGGGACTGCAGACTCATAAACATTATAATGATGTACCACAGCAGTTTTTAAAGAAAATTTGAGTGCAAAAATCTGTATGATGCTACACAAGATTTTGCTAGGTGGTTGTTAGTTTGTGCTGAGCGATTCTTTTAGAGTGGTTATGTAGTTGGTGTACTGATTGGTTGCTAGGGCGTTGCTAGGTAGATGTCGGTGTGTTTTGCATGGTTTGTAGGGTATTGCTCCAGTAGATGGTTGCTAGGGTGATGCTATTAATATCACATAGGGTGGTCTTAATATCACGATGGCGATGCAGACGGCAGCCTCAGTGTTTGGCTCTCCAGTGTTTGTACTGTTTTTGTTAGTTTTTCCTGTTTTTGTTTCTCAAACACGATAAAAAAAACACGGTTTTACCAGGGATGAGCTGCTGAACATTCGGCAGAACACACCACACAATCTTCTACCGGATTTCGTTTATTCGAACGTTTTGCTGAACGTTGTAGCTGGCAGAGCAGCGGCGCTGATGAAGTGCTTCAGGACGCGCAGATGGGGGAAGAGAGCCGGCGTGCTCGTGAAGCTCAGGAAGTGCGGATTCAAAACGGCGCTGCCTAGCATCCATCTGGCGAATCTCCGCTCTCTGCCCAACAAAACGGACAAACTTCTTCTGCTCTCCCGGACAAATAAGGATTTTTCACACTCTGCTGCTCTGTGTTTCACGGAAACCTGGCTGAATGACGCCATTCCGGACAGCGTGCTACAACTGCCCAGCTTTCAGCTGTTTAGAGCAGACTGCGACGCAGAATCAACGGGGAAATCGCGCGACGGCGGGACATGTTTTTACATCAACGAAAGGTGGTGTACAGATGTTACAGCGTTAAAGAAGATGTGCTGTTCCGATCTAGAAGCGCTTTTCATTAACTGTAAGCCGTTCTATTCGCCGCGGGAGTTTCACTCGTTCATTCTCGTGAGTATTTACATTCCTCCGCAAACGCACTTGAGCTCAGCTTTACAGAAACTCGCTGATCAGATCACAGAGACAGAGCAACAACACCCGGACTCTGTTTTAATTATTCTCGGGGACTTTAATAAAGCAAATCTTTCCCGTGAACTGCCAAAATACAGACAGCATATTACATGTCCCACCAGAGACAGTAGTATACTGGACCATTGTTACTCCACAATAAAGGATGCATATCGCTCGGTCCCCAGAGCAGCTGTAGGACTCTCTGACCACTGCCTGGTTCATCTTATACCGACTTACAGGCATAAACTTAAATCTGCTCCAAACAACCTGTGGTCATTAAAATTATCATGTTTTCAGATGTGCTGTATCTTTAAGACAAAATTAACGTAATTTACCTTAAGGTTAAAGCGGGTTAACGTTTCCTAAAGACCACCAGCTTTGATGGATGGAGGCCAGGCAGACAGACAGACTCTCCTGTCCCACAGGAAGTGGCCTCGCTCTGGGTTTCATGTCTAAAGAGTGTCCTTAGACAGTCTCTCTCTGTGTTCGGCATCCTTTATCGGCTGAGGGACAGAGTAGAGATGGCAAAAGGGCGGGAGGGCTTTGTGAACAGAAAGAAAAAAGAGGAAGCAGAGAAAAAGAGACACAGGACAAAGGCAGAAGTGTGTAGAAAGTACAGTACAGACATGCACATGTGATGACTCGGTTTGCAATGCACCATGAAGCCGTGGGCCGCTGCGGGTCACTAGGGGAACCTGCCGGGATGCGGATCGCCATGGAGCGAGATGACATATCTACGGGACTGCAGACTCATAAACATTATAATGATGTACCACAGCAGTTTTTAAAGAAAATTTGAGTGCAAAAATCTGTATGATGCTACACAAGATTTTGCTAGGTGGTTGTTAGTTTGTGCTGAGCGATTCTTTTAGAGTGGTTATGTAGTTGGTGTACTGATTGGTTGCTAGGGCGTTGCTAGGTAGATGTCGGTGTGTTTTGCATGGTTTGTAGGGTATTGCTCCAGTAGATGGTTGCTAGGGTGATGCTATTAATATCACATAGGGTGGTCTTAATATCACGATGGCGATGCAGACGGCAGCCTCAGTGTTTGGCTCTCCAGTGTTTGTACTGTTTTTGTTAGTTTTTCCTGTTTTTGTTTCTCAAACACGATAAAAAAAACACGGTTTTACCAGGGATGAGCTGCTGAACATTCGGCAGAACACACCACACAATCTTCTACCGGATTTCGTTTATTCGAACGTTTTGCTGAACGTTGTAGCTGGCAGAGCAGCGGCGCTGATCAAGCGCTTCAGGACGCGCAGATGGGGGAAGAGAGCCGGCGTGCTCGTGAAGCTCAGGAAGTGCGGATTCAAAACGGCGCTGCCTAGCATCCATCTGGCGAATCTCCGCTCTCTGCCCAACAAAACGGACAAACTTCTTCTGCTCTCCCGGACAAATAAGGATTTTTCACACTCTGCTGCTCTGTGTTTCACGGAAACCTGGCTGAATGACGCCATTCCGGACAGCGTGCTACAACTGCCCAGCTTTCAGCTGTTTAGAGCAGACTGCGACGCAGAATCAACGGGGAAATCGCGCGACGGCGGGACATGTTTTTACATCAACGAAAGGTGGTGTACAGATGTTACAGCGTTAAAGAAGATGTCGTGTTCCGATCTAGAAGCGCTTTTCATTAACTGTAAGCCGTTCTATTCGCCGCGGGAGTTTCACTCGTTCATTCTCGTGAGTATTTACATTCCTCCGCAAACGCACTTGAGCTCAGCTTTACAGAAACTCGCTGATCAGATCACAGAGACAGAGCAACAACACCCGGACTCTGTTTTAATTATTCTCGGGGACTTTAATAAAGCAAATCTTTCCCATGAACTGCCAAAATACAGACAGCATGTTACATGTCCCACCAGAGACAGTAATATACTGGACCATTGTTACTCCACCATAAAGGATGCATATCGCTTGGTCCCCAGAGCAGCTGTAGGACTCTCTGACCACTGCCTGGTTCATCTTATACCGACTTACAGGCATAAACTTAAATCTGCAAAATCTGTAGTAAAGTCTATAAAGAGATGGACCAACGAAACAGAGCAGGCATTACAAGCCTGTTTCGACTGCACTGATTGGAGTGTTTTTGTAGCTGCCACCAACGATCTGGATGAGCTCATGGAATCTGTAACATCTTATATCAGTTTCTGTGAAGACATGTGCATCCCTACCAGGACTCATTTAACATTCAACAATGATAAGTCATGGTTTACAGCAAAACTTTGTCATCTTCGTCAGGCCAAAGAGGACTCCTACAAAAGGGGAGACAGAATCTTGTACAATCAGGCCAGAAACACACTGAATAAGTAGATTAGAGTGGCCAAGAGGAACTACGCTAAAAAGCTAGAACACCAGTTTTCTGGCAATGAGCCTGCATCAGTGTGGAAAGGCCTGAAAGACATCACCAATTACAAGACACCATCCCCCAGGACTGAGGCCAATCAACAACTTGCTGAAGACCTGAATGAGTTTTACTGTTGATTTGAAACTCCCAGTCTAACACCCCACACCCGCTCTGAACATCTCTCCACACAACCATCAACACCTCCTGCAACC